CATAGCTTAAAACATAGGCTGATGTCACTTGGCTAGCAAAAATAGCAGAATAGAGCAACTGAGAAAATCTAACCCCCCTCCCCTCCAAATAAACATGTATAACAAAACAGCATGTTGTGGTCGCAGTATAATTGGCACAATGGATTCCGGTTACAAACCACCTTTACCAAGAGAGTTCCTAGCCAGGAGTTTAAACTTGGACAGATAAGGCACATCCAGACGAGTGTATACATGTGATCTGCAGTTCCTCAAAACTGTCTGAGGCACGCAAACTGCATGCAGCACACATGCAACTATTTGCTGTGCTGCAAATTTGCAGTGTAGTGCCAAAATTTGATACTAGGAACTCCCAGTATCAAAAGAACCTGCTGCAAAAAAAAAAAGCAGCGTGCTGCACACTCTAGGAATGTGCACTGGAGCAACTGGAGGCTGGGTCCTGCCAGACAGAACATCTCCACTGCTTTAGGTGTCCCCCAGCTTCTGCAGCATGCCGGGAGCTAGGAGGAATGGGGAAACAGCAGTTTCTTTGAAGTGGGACATTTTGCCCCACAGCAAACCCCACGTGCAGGGGCATGCACGGTGGCAAAAAGCAGTGGCACAAATTTGTGCTGCTGCTATTTGTGCCCCAGCAAGTGCAAGCCCATGCATATGAGGATGTGCTGATAAGGTTTCATTTTAGGGCTCAAAACCTGTGAGGCTTCAAAAAACAAACAAACAAACAAAAAAAAAAATAGTACATAACCCAACAATATACTAAAAACTCAAACACTGAGCCAGAAACAAAGGGCAAATTAATGCAAACCACTTATGGATAGGAGGCAATTCTGCTGTGAGTATAACAAAGAAACAGAGGGATTTGCAAAATAACTCATTTCCAAATGAGCTGTAGTTGATTTGAGTGCTTGCAATTACCTCACCATAAACAGAAACTAAGCTAGGGTTTCGTTCACATTGCAGGGGAGATTATTTTTCTTGGGAATGATGTTCTGGATTATAAAGAACTGTGCTACTAAAAGTACACATCACAGATTTTATTAAAACGAGAGAACTTTATTATAAATTTGCTGGAGGGTGATGACCTAACGGCCTCAACAACAAGTTTAAAATAGTAGGCATGCCTAGAATTATAGGCTTAAATCCCAGTAGCATCCATTTGGCACTTCTGCCTTTGAGGTAGAGAAGAGATAATCCCTACAGTGCCCTGTGTTGGCATCTATCTAAAAAAAAGCCTTGTTTGCTGAACATACACATTAAAGACTACTGCCCATTTTGTAGGAGTAAGAGATTGCCTTATTCACCTGTATCAGAATTTCCCTTACTCCATTGTTATACAGTTAAACAGTTATACCCAGTAAACAACAATTGGCTGCCTCTCACTGATAAGATAGTCCTACCCCAGTGCTGTCTGCAAAATGCTTTGGGATTCTTTGAGTGAGAAAGGTAATCAAATGTAAATTAATCATTACCATCTACAACTGGGTTACACTATGAGCATGCTAGCATTCCCAGACCAAAAAAAAAGTAAAAAGACTTTCAAGTAGTCAATCAGCATGAGAGATTAGCCTGAATTCCAATTCTGATTTCATGGCACAATCCTACATGGACGATTTTGCAGACTCCCATTAATTAATTGAAAAATAAATGCCATGTAGGTACTGCCCATTTTCTGCGTACTCATATGTGTGGAACCATTTCTAAATAATGGGAAAAAGAATCCTTGCAAACTTAAAAATAAAAGCTAATCACCTTGATACATCCACAGCACTGTTAATTGTCCCATCTGATAATGAACTTTTCTTCACCACAGCAATAAGGTAAATGACAATCAAAGAGCTGTCTTCATGCAGGAGGCAACAGTGGAGATGTTGCATTTTTTAAATGATTTGATTTGGCACAATGTATACCAAACCAAGCATGTACCACATATATGGCAACCAAAGTGCACTTTGGGATTAATAACTGCTTTAAATGAAGAATCAAGTTGCTCCTCAGTGGGCATGTCTACATGTTCATTAATGCGCCATAATTATGATGCATTAAGTTTAGTGCCTATAATAACAGGTCCTAACATAATATGCTGTAATCGGTGCTACTGAGCATTAGCACAAATGAGCGCTTTTTTGGTGATGCTTAATGCTCACTGGACTAATTACTGCCCATTAGTGTGGTTTTTGCTAGCCATGCTAACGCAGAATAGAATTAGTCCAACAGGTATTAAGTGTCTGGTGTAGACACGTCCAGTGTCATTTAGACTTGAGATGGCAAAGACTCATGTTCCCTTGACATTACAGGCTCTCTCACCCCCACCCCCAAGGAGTACATTTACTGATGTTTTGTCCATTCTGGTTTTGGAGACTCCTACACAGAATAACACAGCTCACTAGCAGAATCTCAGATTATTAAAGTACTGAAGAAAAAAAAAAGGATAGGACTAAAATAGATAATTTACACCACTCCATTTTGGATACTGAAAGTCATGGTTATCTGTTGTGCCCACAATAACTGTCATGCACACACTGCTCTTCCAGAAACCTACAAATGCTTGCAAAAGTCTTCATGCCAGCCTTATACCAATAAGAGCCCAGTGCCACTCCAGGAAACAGCCACGGTGAGCAGCTGCAGCAGGGCTACAGCCATTGCACCTCCTGAAGCTCCAAACGTTAGCATGTTCCAGAAGACCTCACCTTGAGAGGTAGCAAGTTGCGAGGCTGATGAGGTCAGACTTTTCCAGGAACTGGACTTAATTGTATCCAAGACAAAATGTGATTGTAAAAGAAAAGGAAAACTTTATTACTGCTGTGATGGGGGAGGATTTTTAGGTACTGGGAATATCAGTTTCTTTCTCAAGGTGTAGGCTGGCTGGGGCATTTGCTTCTTTGTTCCAAAGTTGTCTGCACGTTTGCTCACATCTTCATTGACTTCTGTAAGAATGGACAAGATATCTTCACCCCTACCAACAGAGAGAAGAAAATATCTCTAGTTATTCAGTCAGAGTGCTGCCATGAAGCCTGATCCACAGAAACAAAACCAAAAGCACAGAAGAAATACTGCATTCTTACACAACATGAAGCACGCTCATGCCCCACATCATCTGTACCTAAATCACACACAGAATAGTTAATACATTCCTGCTGCATTTGTGGGACCAACAGACTGTCAGGGCATGTCTACCCTAACTGATGCCTGGAGCCTGTAGCAAAGAAAGTGGGAGTGCCATAGTGAAACATAACTCACAACGCATGTAGGTACTACAGCCCAGAAGGTGAGGTGAGGGGAGTGATGTGCTGGGCATGTACCAGCAAGTTCTGTATCTCAGTTATGTTAACTTTCACAAAGGCCAGGCCACACTAAGGGTCTAAACTACATCTTTTTAGACATGAAGCATATACATATGCACATACAGTTCCTAGCCTGTTCTTTGGAAGGTGTAGACATGCTTTCAAATGCTGTAACAAACCAAATACTTATGTGAACCCACTCATGATGGTGATGGCTCTGTTCAAATAGTCTGAAGTGGCTGGCATTCAGTTTTGGGAAAACCAAACTCCAAACTCAGTCTGGTTTAGGTTCAGATTCTCTCTCTCTCGCCTTGACCCTGGAAATATTTATGTAAATTTACAGGGGCAAACTAAATAAGATGACCAATATTAAATTTGTACCAGCTTAATTAATTGGTACAAGTTTGTGGGGGAAGGAATCTTTAACTCAGGCAGGCCTTTGGTGAGTAAGAATTCAGTCACTCCTATTTAGTAATAAATATGCATCTGCATTACCAAAAAATTATCACCCTCCAACAATATGGAAGTATTACCTTGGCACCAATTGCTGCAACTTACTGCAGAGGGCTTGAATGTACCAAGTACCCTGCTGTATATGCCGGAAAGAGGCATAACCATCAACTGTCGCCATGCCAAGGAGGAAATCAGCTTCTTCTGGAATGCTTTCAGAGGGGGAGACTGTCTGTTGTGCAGGAAGCAAGTCAGGATTTTGTGCATCTGCTTCAAGGTAGACAGCACGTTGGATCTGTTTACCCTGACAGGCTTGGATAAAAAACAATTTTGGTTTTTCAGCCAGTTGTGGACATTGGCTAGCTGTGAAGTAAGATGTGATTGTGCGGATCGGTACTTTTAACTCATCTGTCCCATAGATTATTCCCGACTCTCCGTGAGATAGAATGCAGCAAATAAAACAGTCCCTGCTCTTGTGATCATTTGAGAGCTTCCATTCCTCCATGAGTGCTTTCATTTGTTCTGAAGTCTGATCCTTGTACATTTTCACATCCAAGCCAAGCCATGTAAAAACTCGCTTTAGTTCCTCTGTCATTAAAGAGAGATGGAGAGAAAAGGAAAAGGTGGGCAAAAGGAACCATAATATAAAATTACCATGCAAATGAAGCTGAAGAGTTACAAGCTTCACATCAGGCTTCTCCTGTAGTCTACCTATGCACTAGAGTATACAAAAGATTTGATAAGGTAATCAGAGCACCAGACAGTTACAATCATAAGGTCCAAGACATCCTTCACTTATTTAGAGCAAAACTTTAGAAAGCAAGGTCAGAGGCCTCCATGTTGTTTGGTAGGGTGTGTGTATAGTACAATTTTACAAATAAAAATGGTATTGTTTATAGGCACTATGTGACCTTTGCAGAATTTAATACTGGATTTCTTGCCTGGTAGAACACTGCCAATTCATCTTACAGGTAACCCTGCTTAATGTGGTTTTGCCTAGCACTATTTTGCCATAACGCTCATTTCAAATTGATACCTGATTTCACTTAGGGCTCAGCAAGTTTTGTTATAACACTCACGGTTGCCATCTTGGGTCATTAAAAAAAACTTGCGGTTGCCATCTTGGGTCATCAAATACTTCTGGTTTTGTTTAACACTTGGTTTTTCAGGAACCAATTAAGAGCACTAAGTGGGGGCTGCCTGTAGCGATTGGAAAAATCATGGAATTTTTCTGAATTGGTTACATTAGGAGATTCAGTGAACAAAACACAGACAAACACGAAGAAAATAAGGATAGTTCACTGATAAAGATTGTTTAATTTTAGTTCTCAATATGTACCTCAGGATATACTACAGAACCTACTGCAATAGGAGAGAATCCTGAGTGTTTAAAGCTTTCTCTGCTATTGGTATTTCCTACCAAGTAGGGAAGACTACCTCTATGAGGGAATTATGAAACGTGTATTAGTGAGAGTCTGCAATATATTTTATAGAAAATAATGGTGAGGGTCAACTGACAACACTATGAAGTGAAATTCTTTCAGATTTATTTGTTCCCTTTTTCTATCAAGATGATACATTAAATCGTTAAAAGCGTTAAACCAGTTTAAAAACCCATACATGAAACTGATTTTTAAAAATTTCCCACAAGAGTAATGGAATTCATTCTTTGTTATGCTTAAAGCATAGAAACAGAATTACATACGAAGAGACTGTATTGTGGTCGTTTTGCCTTTGACCAAGATTTGACCCTGAAATGAACTAGATATAAATACAGAGAAAACCCTGCTTTTGCTTTATTTTTTCAAATTCTTGTGCTCTCCAATTGTGACCGAGATTTTATGCCAGCATCCTGTATTGTATACTAAGAATTCAATACAACTACACAATCTTTACTGAAGACCATTCCTGTTCATCTGTTTAGTCAGATTTTTTTTTTTGCTATTTTAAATTAAAATACAAAGCAGTGAGAGACACTTTTCAGCTGCAATTTTTAGCTAAGTCAGAGGAAAGCATTAATTTTAAATTAGTGTTCTATGAATACCATTTCTTGCTAGAGTATTTTTTTTTTATTCTCTTATTTTTTAATCAGGGGCCTAATTCTGATTTTTCTTGTCCCAGTGTTAGATCAGGAATAGATGCATTGATGTCAATGTGTTTACACAAAAATAAGACAAGATCAAATTCCAGCCACAATTTGGGTGCATATGTTTTCATGGTTTTGGAACACAAACAGCAAAATATGCAGTTTGTAACTAAAGAGCTCTGCATATTAAACTTATCTGACAAAAGTGAAAGCACAGCTTCAACTGAAATGTTTGTAGTCTGTGGCTAGCTAAATATATTATGCCTCTACAAATAAGAGGTCAAACTATTAACAAATTGCATACAAAGGAGCTGTCACACTTAATGCAGTAGTGGCTAGTAATGCTGTAAGAAGGTTATCTAACAGTGACAGTAGACCTCTGATAAGCTAAATATAATCTCAAGTTTTAAGATGAATGTTCTGTTGGAAATGCAGTTTGGCTTCACTAGTTAAAGATACCACTGTATACTCATCTTTGTTTAGTGATTCTGTTTACTTTTCTACTTAGAATACAAGTAGGGTTGAGTAGCCAAATCTCACAAGTCGCATTATTTGACTTTTATGAAAACAGTAGACTACACAAGGCACAGCCAAAAGCAGAGAGATGTAGTTAGCCATGTTAGTCTGAAGTCAAGTAGAAAGCAGGATAGATTTGTATCAGAGAGACTAACTAAAGTATTTTTTTATAGCACAAGCATATGTGAGCTGAAGCATCTGATGACAGGAAATCTACCCTGTGTTCTACTTGACTTCAGACTAACATGGCCACCTCTCTCTGCTTATCATTATGTCATTAAACCAAGAGCAAATACAACAGCGAGGAGCAGTGGAACAATTAAAAGGGGTACAGCAAAACCTGAATGAAAATTTTAACAGAAGTAACTTACCAGCATCTTTACCAGAGCCTTTTCTCTCTGTCAGAGTCCCAGAAAAAACAGAATTATTAATAATGACGCAATATCCTCTATGTAGTCCATCCATGTTATAGGTCATCATCAGCTTCTACAGATAAAGAGACGGAAAACAAGTTGCCAGTGACTCTAAGTTTACACTCATTTGAGCAAGAAGAGCACTGAGTTCTTTCAACTGCTAGAAGCTGCACTATTCCTAGAGCAGCACAGACACTTGATATTGTTGTGATGCACATGTAGCTTTGGTATAACAACTTCTAGGAACCAAAGCAGAAGCAACAGTTGCTCCCATAATCCCCATTCATGCTACAGGTAAGTGGACAGGAGGGAAACTCCATGTTGATCAAGTGGTATAAGGAGCAAGAGAACCTGCAAACGGTTCCCATGAAGGTACCAAACAACTGAGAACAGCCCAGTCCTTCCACACTGAAAAGTGAATTCTTCAGGTTATTGACGAGGAAAAAAACATGCTTCATAGCTCCTGTAGGTTTAGTTCATTTTACCCACAAGCTGGACCACCCTTCCATTCCAGGACCTGTCTGAAATTGAAGTAAAGTATAAAGGAAATGCCTCTGGAGAGGAGAGGTTGTCTAGAGAACCCTGGTCTTTGGGTAATTTAGACCTCCAGCTGGCAGAAACTGGGATTAAGCAGGGTAGACATGTACCTTGAAGACTAACTAAATAAGATGCATATAGAGTAGAAGGTTTTGTGACCTGAAGCACTTCATCAGATTCTGGAATAACCTGTAGTTTGCAGGAACTGACAGAAGACAGCAAGACAGATCATTAATCAGAGACCAGTAATGTGTTCTGGTAAGAAAAGCGAAGTGAGAGCTTTCTTCCATTTTTATGATAATTTTTCTTGCATTCTATTTATCTAACTCAGTTAGGTTTGTTTATATGATTCATCTTAAATTGCATAGTTCCTGTCATCACTTCTATTCTTACTTGTATAATAAATATTTTGCTTATTTTATTTACCTTACTGATTGCCTATGGTAAAGGTGATATTCAGAGCAATTGATAATTGCAGGCTTGCCTCTTTGCCAAAATGAGGGATCCTATAACTTTATACAAACCAAAGGGAATTTCCCATAAAATGGCACACTTATACTACAGCTGCAAGGCCTGGACTGGGGCAAATGGAACACAGGTTGACTTGTGTAACAAGTTATCTCAGGGCAAATCTCAGTGTGCTCTCAGTGAACAAGCAGCAGAATACTGAGAGAAGCATGGAGCTGAGGGACATCCCAATATCTTGGCACTACAGGAACACACCTGGATTATTATACTTCCTCTGTGCCAGGTGCCCTTTTCTGACTCCCTGGCTGGGACTCTATGTGTACGCCTTTACTTCTCTGCCAGGGGCTGTGGAACATCTTTCTTCCCCTTTCTGTCTTCCATCCAACATTATTATAACCCAGATAAATAAAATCATTCAAAAAGTGGATGCATTCCCCTGTCGAATGCTATTGGGAAGATGAGCAGGAATACCATTATGTGAGAAGGTATTAAATGGGTGACAAACTGGTTGATCTTGAGACAACTGCAGAGGTGCTCAAATCAAAGTCTATGTTAAGGAGATGGTAAAGAGCTCTATGCGTCTTCCTCTTCCATTTCTCCCCTATCACTAGGATCCTGGCCATAGATGTCTACTATTCCCTTAAATGTTAGAATTAATCAGGAGCTCTGTTCAAAAGTTATCACATGACACAAAGACAGCCAGGGAAATGCCATTAAGTTGAGTGTAAGTACTTTGCAAGTTCAGGCAACTACAGTCAGGAGAGTATCTCAAACCTCTGTTTTATTTTCCAAGTTGCAGATTCTTGTGGGGTCTTCCAAGTTCAGGTTAGAGATGCCTTGTGTAATATTTACTGCTTTGTCATCTAGAAAAAAAGAAGATATTTAGGGGTGAAATTACTAATTTGGGGAAGCACAGAAAAGCTGAGCAAGGCTAGAATGTAGCAGGTCTTGTATGTACTGAACTACAATTGCACTATAATAAAATGCTGTGTACAAAATGTCACGGTCCTACAGAAGATTTGTATGTATTCTAGGTCAGATCCATCACACGCACTTTAGGGATAAAAATAAGATTTTTGTTCTTATTAGTATCATAGAATCAACACAGCTGTGGCAGAGGAAGACTACTGGGATTTAGCTCATTGAACCGAGGGAATTTTTTTTATTAGTCAGGGCTCAACAGTGTTATAAATGGATCCCAAGACATGGCTGAAGTTGCAGTAGGCAAATACTTGATTCCAATTACACTGTACTTACTAGCTGATGTAGTAGTAGGGGTTCAAAGAGCTGGAGGTTGGAAAAAAATTTGTTTAAAAACTTGTGAAGTGAGGCTATGCTTTATACTACAAAAGTGGTTGCTATATCATTTAGAGCTACCCATGCTAGCTTTAACCTAACTAGCCCAGCATCTGTACTAATATAGAGTACAAACAGCAGTCTAACTGTAGCACTGGGAAGCACAGCAGAATAAGAGTTTATGTTGAGCCCCATGCTTGTACTACAGCTAAAGTGCTACCAATACTAGAGCTAGCTGATTTAAAGCTAGGTCAGCAATGTACATCTAGTCTGAGAGGCAAATGTGTAATCCTAGAGTCATTTATACAGTACCACTTTGCAAAACTAAACCAGACTTTAGAAGAAAAACCAATGTAACCACATTTACTTGAGTGAAAGATACACGGGTTTCCTGCTGTACCACCACTGTATCATTTACATAATCCTGTGGCTTGAATTGATCCTTCAGTGTTTAATGACCTCCACCACCCCTACTTCCTGACTCCCTTTTAATTGAGAAGGTTGATCTACTGCAATTCCCCACAGGAGGCAACCATAGCATATGCAATGCCCTTCCCCCCTCACAAGTGACTGGAGTATTGTAGCTTGGATCAGGAACTTTTTTTTTTTTAATTAAGCGGCAGATAGAAGAACTGAGTATGGGATAGCCTTCCTAAGGAGAGCAGGTGAAGGCCTTCTGGTAAGATTAGGTGAGGGGGAATGGGAATGAAGACATGAGACTGGCAAATCTCCCTACCTCTACACCAGGGATGCCCAATTTAAATTGGACCATGGACAGACCCAGTGCTGACAGCAGCCTGATCTATCACACAGGGCCACATCACCTGACCCATGGAGTTCCCCACAGGGCTGGAAACTTAGTAACAGGGGGAGCAGTGCCAATTAATGCTACCACTACTCCCCTAAAACTATGTATCTGAACTTGTGGGGAGCACCATGGACTAGGGCATGGCTCCACAGACAGATACAGACCCTGGGCCATAGGCTGAGCATCATAGATTCATAGACATTAGGGCTGGAAGGGACCTCAGAAGATCATCACGTCCAGTCTCCCACCCAAAGGGCAGGAAGTCAGCTGGGGTCATAGGATCCCAGCAAGATAAGCATCCAATTTGCTCTTGAAGGTGTTCAATGTAGGTGCTTGAACCACCTCCGATGGCAGGCTGTTCCAGACCTTGGGGGCTCGGACAGTAAAGAAATTCTTCCTTATGTCTACCCTGAAATGGTCTTGTAGGAGTTTATGACCGTTTGACCTCATCATCCTTGGAGCGTTCTGGTGAACAAACGTTCCCCCAGATCCTGGTGGTCACCCCTGATAAACTTATAGGTGGCCATCAGATTACCCCTGAGCCTGCGCTTTTCCAGGCTAAAGAGCCCCATGGCTCTCAGCCTGTCATCGTAAG